TTTCCTTCCTTTTCCCTCCAGCTCAAAGTCTTCATGGATCTCCTGCTGAAGATGTCCAACCAGAGGAGCTGAGGGCAGATGGATCTAGGTATTTCCTTCCCAAATCCCCAAGAAACTCCTCTTGTTCTGTTTCTTTTCTCCTCCTTATCCTGAGAGGGGCCGGAAGTTGGTATGTGAAGAGATTGATGTCTGTGAAATAAAAACTGGCAACTGTGGCATCAACAGAGATGCTGGGCTGCTGGGCCTTCCCAGGATGCCGGGTGTGAATGAGCTGGTCCACGGTGTCTGGGCTCAGCTCTGCCCTGGGAGATGAGGGTTTGAGAGTTTGATTCGTTTAAGGTACTGTTTTATTTGTTGTTGTTGCTGTTGTTTGTTTGTATCAGAAAAACACATTTGCAAAAGGAACAAATCCAAGAGATGTGATTTTAAACAATATTTCAGAGACTCAGCCTCCTTCCAAACAACGAGAGTCAGGCTTTCTTGTCTGTAGCTGTTCCAGAGCATCAGGGTGATGGAGGAGGAAGGAACAGAAGGACAGGGTCACACTCTTCGAGGTGCCAACGGAACGGTGGTCATGCTTGTGAAGAAAGGCCACCGTCCAGCTCTGAGGATCGACCTTCCTTCAGTGCTTGCGGGAAGGTTAGGCCCGTGACTCAGCATGTGGGTAGGCGTCTCAGGGCTCTGCCAGTGCCCCCTCCCCTCCCGTCAGAAAACAAACCACAAACACAGTAGAATTACAAACTGCTATGCACCAGGATGTTGAGAGTTAAGTTGATCATGTTTCTTTTGCCTGGGGAGAACTCTGCATTTACAAGACCCATTGCTAGGGGACTCCATGAAATAAATAATTCTTGTCTTTCTGATAAGTCTACCTGACAACCCTCAAAATAGATTTCCACCAGGTCCCCAAAATAGAAGCTGATAGCTATCACTTGACTTTCTCTGAATTCATAGCAAGACTCCAGACGTCCTCTCATGATAATGCTTTTTCCTTATTTTCATTTATCTCTATTGTTTTAGTCTCCCAACTTTCCAAGACTCTCTGCTCCCAATAAGGAATCTTTATACCTAAATAGAGGCTCTGTGTCATCGTTATGTCATAATTATATTCTCTCTACCCTTTTAGGAATAGTTTAAGTTGAGTGGGGCCCATATGACCCCTATGTTAAAGCTAAGGAATCGAAACCCCCAAAATGAACAGACATCCAAAAAAGAAGCTTGCCCAGATTTATAGAAAACTAGAATTCGAATCTTGGACATCCTAAGTTCAGGGCTCCTTTTGCCATCTACTGTGTTTGGACATCCTAAGTTCAGGGCTCCTTTTGCCATCTACTGGCTGAGAGAGCCATGAATGTGGGTCACACAACACAGCAGTGCTTGGAGAATCATGTCTT